ACATTGCATATTGTTGTCTTCTTAGTAGTTATTCATAGTACAAGATACAGACATGATAACTTGCTTAAACACTATTAGTACAAGTCTGTCTTCTCATTGAACTAAGAGAAAGTATCTGTATATCTTTTTAAAAATAAGTTTATTGAGAAATAGCAATGAGACAGTTTCAAAACCGATTAGTAGGAGAGTTTCAATAATTAATACATTGCATATTGTTATCTTCTTAGTGGTTATTTGTAGTACAAGATACTGACATGATATCCTCTCACAACACTATTATTGCAAATCTGACTTCTCATTGAATTAAGAGAAAATAGCTGTATATCTATCCTATTTTGTATATACAGATACAAAATGGTCATTCATTTGTATCCCCCTTTTTTGTTTAGTTTTGTCTGAGAAGGGTATTCTATTGTCATATAAATATTGTAGGTCATGTAAATATTTTATCAGCAAAATATTCCAATATAGTCCAGTAGTTCATAATAGCAGTGGGTTATCTGCAGGACTGGCAATGTCAGAAATCGTTGACCTGAGCCCTTCACAGCCCAGCATACCAACATGTCTTCACCCCTTATACCTCGTTTTTTTACCTTTCTGCTGGACGGTTAAGACCAAGATAAAGAAAGACCTATATAACAAGAAATGTGCCCGCCCCCGACGTCGCCCCGCCCCTCGCGCACGCGCGCCGCCGCCCGCCGCCGCTGCCGCGTTCCTCTCGTCAGCTCTCGCGCCCAGGCGGCCGACGCGACTCCCGAGTGCCCGGCAGTCCCCACTACAGGGTTTCATCAGTAGACAGCAGTCTCCATTGTGAACCCAATCCGTGGCTTCCTGTCCTGTGAGCTCCAGTGCCATGGCCACGGAGGAGAAGAAGCCGGAGACAGAGGCCGTGAGGCCACAACCTGCCCCCTCCTCCTCGGCCACGCAGAGCAAGCCAACACCTGTTAAACCAAACTATGCTCTCAAGTTTACCCTGGCAGGCCACACGAAAGCTGTGGCCTCCCTGAAGTTCAGCCCGAACGGAGAGTGGCTGGCAAGCTCGTCTGCTGATAAACTCATTAAAATTTGGGGTGCATATGATGGGAAGTTCGAGAAGACCATATCGGGGCACAAGCTGGGCATATCAGACGTGGCATGGTCTTCGGACTCTAACCTCCTTGTTTCTGCTTTGGATGACAAAACCTTGAAGATATGGGATGTGAGTTCTGGCAGGTGTCTAAAAACCCTGCAGGGCCACAGCAACTACGTCTTCTGCTGTAACTTCAACCCGCAGTCCAACCTCATCGTCTCAGGGTCTTTTGATGAGAGCGTGAGGATCTGGGATGTGAAGACGGGGAAGTGCCTCAAGACTCTGCCTGCTCACTCCGACCCGGTCTCGGCTGACGGGTCCTTGATAGTTTCCAGCAGCTATGACGGTCTCTGCCGCATCTGGGACACTGCATCTGGACAGTGCCTGAAGACGCTCATCGATGATGACAACCCTCCTGTGTCCTTTGTGAGGTTCTCTCCGAACGGCAAATACATCCTGGCTGCCACGCTGGACAACACACTGAAGCTCTGGGACTACAGCAAGGGCAAGTGCCTGAAGACCTACACGGGTCACAAGAACGAGAAGTACTGCATATTTGCCAATTTCTCCGTGACCGGGGGCAAGTGGATCGTGTCTGGCTCTGAGGACAACCTGGTGTACATCTGGAACCTGCAGACCAAGGAGATCGTCCAGAAGCTGCAAGGCCACACAGATGTGGTGATCTCGACGGCTTGTCACCCCACGGAGAACATCATTGCCTCGGCCACCTTAGAGAATGACAAAACCATTAAACTGTGGAAGAGTGACTGCTAATCCTCCTGGCTCAGAGACTGTTGGAAGTCGACATTGGCAGGAAGCAGGGTGTGGCACAGGTGTGGGGCCCAGGTGGCCGCAGCACACCCCGCTCAGGATGGTGAGCTGAGGGGTGTGCACCCCAGGACGCTCCAGCACCTCGGGGACATTTTTTGCTAGCTCTGTCCCGCCCAGGGAGGAGTTCCTAGTTCACTTGCTCAGAGGCAACAAAAGTTTTTAATTTTTTATTACAAGAGAGCGAAGTTCGATTTATCATGGGTTGTTTTTTCCAGGAATTGTTGTGTACATTTTTGATATTTTCTACCCAGTGGGAACGCACACTGGCCGACTCAGGTGGCCCGGTGTGGGTTTCCTCCTGGTGCTGCCAGCTCTCAGTCCCTCCATAGTGGTGCCTGGCACGTCTTCTCATCTTCTGGAACACAAAGCCTGTGTAGTGACTTCAGGTCCAGTCCCTTTGTGTCAAGATTTCTGGGCCACGGTGACCCAATGGCAGCTGTAGGCCGTGTCCCCTTCGTCTCTGGCGTCCACACAGCTGCACAAACTGTAATAAAAGGTGGGATTTTGTACTAAAAAAAAAAACCAAGAAATGTAACTTTTGTATCTGATAAGGTCAGTCAAGTCCCTTCAGAATTTTTTTTTTTTTGTGGTACCAGGGATTGAACTCAGGACCTTGTGCTTGCCAGGAAAGCATTTATTCCACTGAGCTATCTCCCCGACCCCCTCCCCTCAGGATTTATCCTGAAACCCTGTACTGCACTTTGTAGATCCTTTGTGTCAGCCATGTGGATGGGTCACGGCCATTGCTTGACCAATTTGGCAGAATATATTTATCCATGTAAAGAAAGCTCCTGTCCAAGAGAAGGATGAAATGGGCTGAGCAGGTTGTCTGGGAAGCTGTCTCTTCCAGAGATTTTTATAGACTAAAACCATGAGGTGAGGTGGGTCTAAGGTGAAAAACATGGAAACTCGCTAGGACATGAGGTGAGACAAAACTGTGGTTAACCAATAAGATTATAAAATCAATCTCTCAGGTAAAATTGATTAAATCCAGGACCAAATGGGGAAGTGAGTCATGTAGCAAGTGGGCATGGCAAGCAGGCATGAATACAGAACCAGGGCTTTTACTGTAGGGGGCTGGGTTAGTGACTCTTCCAGGGGTCCTTAAGGTGAGGGTCTTATTTAGAATATCAATCCTAGATGCCAATCTTTAGGGAGGTATGTGACTGCATTTGTTTACTCTTTTGTTTTGAGGTCTGGCCCACAGCAGGGGTCTGTTTCTGCCCAAAGTTGCAAAGTCATTTTGTCTTTTATACTGCTTCCTTGAGGGCCTAGCCCTGATTGTCTATAATATTTCTAACTCAGCTAGCTGCCTGAAACATTAGTTGTTAGCTAAAAATAACCTTAAAGACTCAGCATATTGTGTGTGTCCATTGTTTACATGTCCACGATCTGAGTGTTTTCTATTTTAGTGGGATATAACCGAAATTACTTCATTTTGTATAATGAATTTTCAAGATGTGGAGTGGGGACAAGAGAGGTGAGGTTAGGAGTTAAGTCCTACCAGTCAGCTAATCCAAACAAGTGTTTTCTTAACAACTTTCTGTTGCCAGGTTGTAGGTTAAACACTCAAAACCAGCCTATAGTCTAGTTTGTTTATTTATTTTTTTTGGCGGAACTGGGGATTGAACTTAGGCCCTTTTGCTTGCCAGGGAAGTGCTTATTCCACTGAGCCATCTCCCCGGCCCCAGCCTATAGTCTAGGGAAGGACAAAAACTGCACATCCTGGACAACTGGGAAAAAACATAAAAATCAATCACTCATTTGTTTAACATATATTTTCTGTGATATAGATGCACTAGGTTAGGTGATATTACAATAATATAAGAATATTAGAAGTCATAGTATTATTGGATAAGAACGATAAGTGATAAATGAACAGAAAAAGACCCCCAAATTTTGAAAGAATCCATAAAGGAAGGCAGTAAGTTATGAGTCAGGAATACTGGGTATGAATTGATAGCTGTGGTAGTAAATTCAGAAACAGGAGTTAAGGTTTGGGATGAAGAGCGCCTGCTTAGGCAGACGCAAGGACCGGGGTTTGATCCCTGATGTGCCCATGCTGGCCCTGACCCCGCCGGAGACAGGGATTGAGACTGAGTGATTGAGACTGGGCATGGTGGCCAGTGTCTGTAATCCCAGCGCTTGGGAGGCTGAAAAGAGGAGGATCACTACAAGTCTGATCTATGTGGTGAGACCCTGTAGACCCTGTACTAAATACAGAAAAAAAGAAAAAAGTACAAGAAAAAAAAAAGATTTGGGATGAGGATGAAAAAGTTTTGAATGGAAAAGTGCAACAGGCAGCTGGGTTTAAACCTAGGGATGGCAAAAATAGCTTAAACCTTTAAACTATGCACATGGAAAGACACGAACACCTGATGCATGTGAATAAGCAGTTTGGCAAAAAACAATCTATAAAGGACCGAAGGGGCTGTGTATGGTGGTGCACCCTGCAGTCTCAGAATTCTGGATCACAAGTCTAAGCCCAGCCTGGGCAATTTAGTGACTTCCTGAGACCCTGTCTCAAACAAAACAACAATTTTTTTTTTTTTTTTTTTTTAACTATAAAAACCAACAAAATGGGAAGAGCGGAGCTTAGCCTTTCTGGTCTTTCTGCGTCACGAGACTACATTTCCCAGAATGCCATACAAAACCGGCACGTGAACCAGAAGTTGATGGCAACCATTTCCGGCAAAGCTACCTCGGGTGGTTATGGCGGCCTTCAGAGTTCAGATGTCACTGTGGAAGTTCTTGATGGGCTCTCGCGGCCTGGAGCCAGTCTGTAACCAGGCCGTAACCCAGCTTAAGCCGAGTGCTCTGTTACAGCCGCTGCCGCTACCTCTTGCAGTGGGGCTGCCACGCCGTTGGCTTAGCTCCGGTGCTGGTAAGTGACTTGCCGGACGTCTGGTGTGTGGTTCTCCTTGGGGGCCTTAAAAGCTCTTTTTAGCTGGCGAAAATCACGCAGCGGCCCCTCTGTCTCTTCCCCTCTGTGCAGTCTCAAACCAGTCAGCTTCGGTCTGTACCTGCAGGGTCTGTTATCGCCCCGTGCCTGAGCGCCGTCACTGGGGAGTGCTAGACTAAACTTGGGGTACGGACGGTGAGCTAAGGCTCACTGACCCGGCGTTCCCCTGAGGGAGCGCCAAGCCCAGGGGGAACTAGCACTCGATTGCTGCGAGGGCTGTGTTGGGGACGCACTGAGAAGAGGCCTTCAGACTATGGTGGAAGAGGCCGAACACAGGTATTTGGAGAGTGGGATTGATTAGGCAGGATTACGGCTTCGGGATCTAGGTTTAGAAAGAAAAATCTTGTTTCCAGCTTAAGCAGTTGAATGGAGAGTGGTCCCATTTGTACCAAATCGGAGAAAATTGTAGGAACGATATTGGGGTCGGGGGCGTGGTCGGACCCACAGTAGATGGAGTGTGGAGATGGGAAGGAATTTTAACATTAAATTTTGAATGCATTTGAGAGTGTAGTGTATCATATACGGATAAATATAAATTGAGAAAATCAGAGTAAAAATAGTAACTAAAGTTGGGCTAATGGATGAGATTATTTGGGGAGAGAGTAGTCCTGAGCGCCTGCAGTGTTCTGGATCCTCCAAAGGATCGTGACTCCTAGAGATGCGACAGCGTTTTGGTCTTTAGAGAGCACATCATTAACTGGAGAAGCACAGTGAAGCAAGCCGACCACCTTGGTTTTTTTCTGAATGATGTTGAAAGTCATTGCTGAGTTCAAAACGTGGCATCATCTTGTTTACATCGTTAAAGAGATTACTCTTAAGTAGTCTACGTGGACAATGTTTTGTAGTGGGGTGAAAAAGGAGGCAGTGATACCAGGCATAAGATGAGGGTGGTCCTTTTTTTTTTTTTGCACTGAAAAAATTTGCATTTCTTTTCCTCAAAACCAAATACTGGGATATCATTAAAGACTAACCGAGACCTTCAGGCATTCTTTGGATCTAATGCATAATTATAGTAGTCATATTCACACTTACATAAAAATTCAAAATGAAAAAGTTACTCTTAAAATCAAGTGTCAGGAAAACCTTCCTGGAACTCATTATACAATATATGTGACATATATAATACCTTGTAACACAAAATTTCTCAGAACACACATGAAAAATAGAATAACTTATATTTATAAAAAGTACGGTTTTATGAACACACAATACTCAGAAAGAAAAGGTGGTCAGATTATGATAGGGCAACTAATGTCCTGGTTTCTCAAAATACTTCACAAAAGGAGATTCATAAATTAGTAGTTCAGTGTTTGGTTTTTAAATGTTACTTTTTCTTCTTTTTCTTTTCATCTGCTTCCAGTTTAAGCTTAACTTCTTCAGCTGTAAGAACTCCAAGTTTCTTATTCTTTGCTTCCTTAACCTTTTCTTTAATGACAGCCACATCAATTTTAGTTTCAGTGGAAGCTTCCTTTGGTTTTGTAACAGGCTTTTCTTTAGGTGGAATAGATGCTTTGTTTCTTTCTTCTTGTGTCTGAGAGCTGTTGTGTGTTTGTAATCAATATGGGAATCCAAGTAGCCAATTAAGATTTGAAGGCCTTTAATAGCTAAGCTCAGCAACCGTCAGCATAGACCAACTGGTTTCAGAGTCCAAGTGAGCAGCCCTGAGAAGAGAACAGGAAGAGTATATAATATAAAGAGAGAGAAAAAACAAAGAAAATATATAATACATCCTGCCTGTCAAACAGAATAAAAATGTATAGCACACATCTTGCTTGTCAAACAGTTAGATTTTTTGCTATACATCTGGCTACTTTTCTTCCTGTTATGGCTTAAGGTCATGCTTTCTCAGAGTGTATTTCCTCCTTATGGTTACTTGTAGGCCTGTTTTTGCAACTTTGGGGTCAGCTAAAGTTTATTATGGCAGTACTTATGCTAAGAGTCTGGATTTAGGCCATCATAAGAGCTTCTGCTTGTTTAGCCTTTATGGCTTTCATTTTCTGTCACTTCTGATGTGCCTTCAAAAAGTATTCACCACTAGCCAATTCTTTGTGAATCTGACTTTCTGGCTGTGGCGGTGGCAACGGTGTGAACTCTTTTCTTAACAGTTTTCTTCTTTGGTTCTTTGAATTTGTTTGCATTTTTGTGTTTGAACTGTGGCAAAAATCTTTCCCAACTTTGTGATCGTAATTCAGAATCTTTTGGCAATTCTCATTTTATCATTAAGGTTTTAATACTATAAATTGAATCATGGTATCTAAAGCTACTTTTCAAACTTTTAAACTACTAAAAGCTCCAGTGGTTGAGACTGTATTTCCCTGAACTATAACGTAACAGTTCATTAAGAGTTCCAAAGCCTTCAAAGTATATGCTTTGGTACCAATAAGTCGCTATCTTCTTTTTATGAATCTTTCTTTATTTCTTAGTAAAGAAACTATTTTAATTTGTCACATGCAATATGATCTTGAAGAATTTGTGCTGTCTGTTCAAATGAAACACTGTTTGTTAACAGTTTTATTAGATCTCTGACCCTAATGATGATGTATGGATCAAAAGTCTTCTTTATAGTACAGTCATGTTGCCCTCAATCAGGTCCAGGGTGGCCTTGAGTGGTGTTCGTTCAAGGCCTTCTGTACCAAAGGCCAACACTCTTTCAAGTAGGCCTCTCTATATTTTGGGAACAAAGTTGCAAAACTGCTCAAAATGTGGAGGCCTCCAAGTGTCCTCTGGGATTGCCCTCTTTAGAAAAAGCTGGTTTCTTCCAACCATCAGGAACAGTGAGGAGTTCTGATTCGTCTTGGTTCTCTGGCTTAGATTTCAGTCTGTGAAATTCACTTTTCTTAGCTGCTGTTGCTGGTCTGTTGTCCGTGGCAGATGCCATTTTCAGAACTCGAGGGTGGTCTTGATTAGAGTAGTGGCAGTGGGAAATGGAGGGTTAAAAAGATTTAAGAAATATAGCAGGTTGTGTGTTTTGTGTTACTGTCTTTTTTTATGGAGCTAATCATAGTACTTGGTTGATAGAGTTGTGAGCATGCAGTGTGCTGAATATTTTCTTGGCTTAGTAAGTCCTAGCATGTAGAAAATATCAAACAAATTCCTATTGTCATTTTTACTACTGCTCCTGGCTGGACATGGTGCTTAAGGTCAAGTCAGGAATGACTATAAAGGTTCTGGTCTGCAAGACCTCGTGATGCTGAGATAGGGAACAACAGGAAAAGCAGATGTGAAACAAGAGAAAGTTGATGGTTCTGATTTGGTCATGCTGCATGAAGTACAGTGGAATGTCCATTAATTGGGTGAAAATAATCTGAGCTAGAGATTGAGATTTCAGTCCCCAGCATATCAGATGATTAAAGTCATAGGAGGCAAAGACATCACCCAGTGACAAAATGAGAAGAGAGAAAAAGAAAGTGTTCAGAATTTACAGGACAAGCGAAGAAAGAGGAAACTGGAATTAAGTGTGTGTGTGTGTGTGTGTGTGTGTATGCATGTGTGTTTTCATTATTTTTACATAATGGTTTTTTTAAAATTTGGGGCAGGGTGTACAGGGTCTCACTATGTAGATTGGATTTGTAGTGATTCTCCTGTTTTCAGCCTCCCAAAAGCTGGGATTACAGGGGAGCGCCACCACATTCCGTCTCAATCGCCATCTCAGTGCCGCCTGGGGTGGGGCTATTTTTTTTTTTATAATGGAAAGAGAAATTACAAGGAATAAGCAGACTGCCTGAGACAGAGTTTAAATAAGATTGGGTGCTTTAGAATCAGATAAACCTTTTTAAACCTAGCTATGTCCTTTAATAGTTGGTTCTTTGGGTCAGCATTAGCATCTTCATTTATAAAATTAGGGTATTGATAATTTATTTTGTAGGTTATTATATACATTCCTAAAGACTTGCATTATCTTGACTTAGAAAAATTAGAGAGCTTAGGATGTGGCTTAGTAGTAGAGCACTTGCCTAGTATGCATAGGCCCTGGGTTCCGGACCCTACACTGCAAAACCAACCAGCCAATCCCCCCAAAACAAACAAACACTTAAAAAGTAGACAAGTCTGTATATAGTAATAGTCATTATTACTATTACATTAGTTTTTCTGTTGCTTCCAACAGCACACTGTTTAAGATATATTTTGCACACACATATTTTATTTATTTTTATTTTTATTTATTTTTGACACAGGGCCTTGCTGTGTAGTTCAGTCTGGCTTTGAACTCATGGCAGTCCTTCTGCCTCAGCCTCCAGAGTGCTGGGTTACAGACATGTGCTACCGTGACTGGTTTGTTCAGCATACTTAAAATTTAAAATTGAAGTGGAATGAATGAATCTCACAGGTATTATTAGCATTATGCAGTTTGAAGAACACAGTGTACTTATGGTTTTAACTGACAATTTCCTTTTTTATTTTTTTATTTTTGGTACTGGGAATCAAACTCAGGACCTCCCACTTGCCAGACAGATACTGAGCTAAATCCTTGGCCCCCTACTTTTTTATTTAGAGGTCTTGTGGCTTTTCATTTTGCTAGCATCTTATTTACTAAAATCTGTTTTAGCAGAGTCTGATACCTCAAAGATCAAGAAACCTACATTTATGGATGAAGAAGTTCAAAACATCCTTATCAAGATTACAGGCTTAAACTTGGAGAAGATTTTTAAGCCAGCTATACAAGAGCTGAAGCCACCAACCTATAAACTAATGACCCAGGCACAGCTGGAAGAGGTATGTAAGCCCAGGAATATTGAGTAGTATGCCTTTCTTTTAGGGCTAAAACAGGATTTCCAGAAGCTGCTGCAGATGCTTTTAGCTCTCTTCTCTGGGCACCTGTGTGGTTGACTAATGGCACAGAACTGAGGAATTAAATGAGAGTAGGCAGGCAGAGAGGGCCCAGGAGCATGACCAGAACTGAGCAGACAAGTGTGTGGACCTGGTGTGGATGTCCAGGTAGATGGTTCTTTCTGCTCAAAGTGAGCATCCTTCCTTTCCTTTCCTGTTCCAGCTTCCTTCCTGGAGAGGTACCACTATGAGCTACTACAAGTAGATCATATTGAACAGCTTCCTATTCTAGGCAGCAGTATCTTCTTGGACCTGTAGGTTTTTAGTGCTTTGTGAAATACTTCTTTGATGTGTGAATATGTGAAACGTTAGCACTCTAATTCAAAAGTTGCCTGTGTTCAAATCCTAGTGCTGCAGCTTCATAGTAATTTTCTTACACCTTTGAGCTTCTGTTTTCTCTTTCATGAAATGAAGATTATAGTAGCACCTAATTCACAAGGTTGGTATGGGCATTAAGTGAATAAATATATTCATTCAGAGTATTTGAACAATATTTGGTACATAGGAAGTACGTAAGTACAGTCCTTTATTTCTAGCAGATTTGTACTCTCAAAACATTCCTTTTTTTTTTTTGTCATACTGGGAATCGAACTCAGGACCTTGCACTGACAGGCAGGTTCTCCATTCATTGTTTTTTTCATAATGATTAAACCTGTGGCTGGTATTCTCAGCCATACCACAGGCAAAAAAGCTGGGGCTCATGAGTACAAACGTGGCTTCTCACTCATTGATTATTGACTATAACTGGTTATTCTCTCAGTCTTTAAATGATTTTTGATGAATGTCTTTTTAATCACATGATCCTTTTCATCTATCGCCTTGTGACTTTCCTTAAAAAAATATTTTATTTTGTTAGGCTACCAGAGAGGCAGTTAAAGCAGCTAAAGTACGATTAAAAATGCCACCAGTTCTGGAAGAACGAGCACCAATAAATGATGTGTTAGCGGAAGACAAGATTTTGGAAGGGACAGAAATGGCCAAATATGTGTTTACTGATATATCATACAACATACCACACCGGGTAAGTATATGTCTAAATGAAAATGATGTATATGTCAACTTGATGTGGAGATGGGTCTGAGGGATGAAGTGACTTGGCTCACTATGATGCTGCCAAACTGGAATTCCTGTGATTGTGTGAGATCCTTCTGGAAGAGACAGCATAAGTAGGATGAGAGGTGCAGACCATACCAAAGATGGCACAGTCAAGTGTATTTCAGATTGACTGCAGAGAGACAGATGTGCTCGGAGAGAACATATACAGACAGAAATCCACCTCCCAAACCACAAATGGACAGAAATCTACAAGGTAGCAGGAGAAGGAAGTTCTTGTTACCTAAGTTGTACTGTTTGCTTTGCTGAAGCTTTTTGAGAACATGGTGTTTAATCCTGTGTCTTCCTTGATGGTACCAAGAAACTCAGACATCCCAGTAGATTATCACTGTATAGAACTTTCAGTAAGAGTGACAGGTATTTCTCAGATAAATTTTAAACATTATAGCTTCTCCTGTGTTTTTATTCTCTTGTTTATCTTCTATTGATTGCCAATTTTAAAAGACACTTTGGCATTTAAAAAATGTTGCAGTTTTATATGTGAGTCTTGCAGATAGAGAATAAAGAGTAAAAAGAATACTGTGGGATGGGGAAATGAAGTAACTCAAAACAGCTGTCTTCTGAAATGGATTCAGATGAATCTCAGATCATTTTTGGTTGAACCATTTATATACTGAACCTACAGTAATACCATAGTTGGTGCTCACTGAATTTTAGGTCTCTGATGGTCAGATACATAGTAGTGATGTGTTAAACCTTGCTGAGTCTTTTAAAGATTAGATTATTGAACTCCCATATGCATGATTGTATTTTGTTTCCCAGTTGCATTGTGTATTGTAGATTGCAAGTTGTAGTTATAAGTAGGGATCCCCAACCCCTTGCTACCAACTGGTACAGGTCTTCCACAAGACTGGTCACTGGTGCCAGAATGTTCAGCCTCTTAGGAATCAGGCTACACAGCAGGATGTGAGACAAGTAAGAGGAACTTCATTTGTATTTACAGCCGTTCTCCATCACTTGTGTTACCATCCAGGCTCTGCCTCCAATCAGATCAGTGGCAGCATTAGATTTCACAGAAGCATGAACCCTGTTATGAACTGTGTATGTGGAGAAGGCATAAAGTTGCCATTCCTTATGAGAATTTCATGGTATAATAATAGAAGTGTACAATAAGTGTAGTACACTTGACTCATCCCAAAACTATATGGGCTGGCGAAATAGCTCAGTGGTCCAAAATGCCTGCTTAGGCAAGTGCGCAGAGACTGCAGTTTGATTCCTTGGCACCACATGTTGTGCTGGCCCTCCTCCCAGGGTGTGATTGAGACTGGGCATGGTGGCATGTGCCTGCAATCCCAGCACTTGAGAGGTTGAAATAGGATCATTACAAGTCCGATCTGTTTAGTGCAAGTCTGGAGACCGTGCGCTAAATATATAAAGATGAAAAATTAAAAAAAAAAAAAAAACAACAACAAAACTAGCTCTTGAGTGCATAGAAGACTTGTCTTCTATAGAACTGGTCCCTGGTGAAAATGTTCAGGCCTTGAGTTTGGGGACCACTGTAATGGACTTAGTGAGAGATAGAAATTAAACATAGTTTTGCACAACTCGTCCTTGATTGTATCTTCTGTTTTAGGAGCGTTTTATTGTTGTAAGAGAACCAAGTGGCACACTACGCAAAGCTTTTTGGGAAGAACGGGACCGGGTGATACAAATTTATTTCCCCAAAGAAGGTCGTAGAGTTTTGCCACCAATAATTTTCAAGGAAGAAAACCTTAAGGTAAGGTGAATTATGTTGTATATTCTAGATTCAGATGATTTATTTGTTGAACCATGTGGCTTTGGTGCTGCTTGGTGTTTTGCTTTGGTAAATACAGATACATGTTTCTGATGGTTACATGATGAGAATTCTCTTCTTTTAATTGTCTTAGGTGGGATTTGGATTCAGGGGTAACCATTGTAAAGCCCATCTTGTTTATGTGTGTCTCTTGATGGGTATATATGCCCCATGTGTGTGGCTGGGCAACCCTGTCACAGTGCAGGACAGGTGCTAAACTTTGTTCTCAATCTAATTCTATTTCTGCTGTGTGATCCTAAGACTATGTATAGCCGGGACCGACATGTTGATGTCCTTAATCTTTGCATTGCCCAGTTTGAGCCAGATTCTACTGAGTACATCAAGGTAAGCATGTCTTACAGTTTCTAAAATACAAGTTAAAGTACAGTTATGAGCAAGATTTTTAGCATGTACTGAGTTTAGTTTTAAGATTTGATATAGGACAGTGAGGGCAAACTTTTTAAAGCTTTCTATAACAGTCTGTTGGGGCATGCATGCCATAATTTCGCCACCTCTAATGTAGGGGAAAGAGAAGGAAAATACCTGAAAATTTGTTGAATACAGACACAGATACATTTTAGTCTCATGACAATGCTTAAGGCTGAGGGAATTTAGCTTGCTGACAGTTGCATTGCTAGTAAGTGGGAGGTTTTGGACCAAACAATGGCAAAGCCTATTCTCTTAATTTACCAAATGAGAATAAAGTTACTTAGTATAGTTTGCCAAAATGTAATGTATGTGCCTTAAATAGCTCAGTGTGCTTACATATTCAGTAGCACCTTTTATGTGAAAGGTATTATGAGTAGTAAGGTAATGCCATGAACTAGGATAGGGTATGTTGTGCCAACGGCTGTAGTCCAGTAGTGATTGTATAGAATGGTGCTAGAGGAGCAGGCAGATGATTATGACTTTATGGCTACACTGTTAGGTGCTAAAAGGCTTTGTAGAAGTTGTAAATACTCTGGCAGGGCACAGAACACTGGCAGGGGTAGTTGTGTGACGAGAAGTATGTTAGGTAGAACAGTAAAGAGCAACAGGCAGAAAATTAGCAAGTATGTTTGAGACATGGCTTGTCATCTGGTTTGCTTGAATCTACAGTGGGTATGGAGGGAAGGATTTCAGAGTAGGCTGGAAAGGTGGATGGGGCAGCATCACAGGAGACCTTGATGCCATGCTGAGGAACCTGGACTTCAGTCAGAAGATCTTTGAAAGCCTTTTGAGCAGAGTGATGCCCTCAGTAGGTCCTCATGTAGCAAGATAAGTCTGGAAGGAGAACTGAAAAAATGTCGATGGCAGGTGCAAACTGATAGGATGGGGTAGTTGATAGGAAAAGGGAATACCCTTGGCTGTTTTCCCCAGTAACCAAGACCTGTGATAATTTTCTGTCTGTCTGTCTGTCTATCTCTGTCTCTGTCTCTCTCTCTCTTACACACACACACAAACTCAGCATTCACGTTTGGTTGTTGAAAAATATTCGGTAAGGTTACAGAAGTTTGGTGTGACTCACTTCCATAGTGGGGAAGGCATAGGCTTGCTGGCATCTCAACAAATTCTTTCCTAATAAACCCTCCTTCCTACCCAAGGTGGGCGTACCAGGAGTGGTCTGCAGCTTACCAAGTGATAAATGATAGTATAGGCAGCTGTAAGTATGTCTGGTTTCACTCATGCTTTCCTTGGCCAGCACCCTAGTCAATGTAAGTAGAGGGATGCAGTTCACTTTGTATTTTCCCATTTCTGATGAGTTGTATTGTATTTGGATAGATTCATCACCAGACTTATCAAGATATTGACAAACATGGAAAATACGACCTTTTACGTTCAACAAGACACTTTGGTGGAATGGCTTGGTATTTTGTAAATAAGAAAAACATTGATGGTTTGCTGATTGACCAGATTCAGAGAGACTTGTAAGTATAATCTTATGAATCATTCTTACTGCCCTTACAGTAAATCTGTATTTAAGCTATGGTGTTTTCCTTGTGGTAAATTGAAGCTTTCACTTGCCCAATTTGTCTGGTTTTCTCCTAGCATAACCAGTTTTCCCAGGCTTTGCTTTTATGTTGACAAACAGGGCTGGTGTCTTACTTTTCTCATTGCTGAGACAGTGTGCTTACATACGTGACACCTATAGTTAAAGAAGGAAAGGCTTATTGCAGCTGACAGTTTGTGAAGGTTTAAGTTCCTAGTTGGCTGGCTCCAGGGCTGAAGGGGATATCAGAGAGGATAAACAGCTCACAGTGGCAGAAGGCAGCAAAGCAGTGAAATAGTGCAGCAGCAGCAGCAGGCCTGCCTTCTCTCCATCCCTTTTTTTTTTTTTAAATGTATTTAGTACAGGGTCTACAATGTCTCATTACACAGATCAGACTTGTAGTGATCCTCCTGTGTACAGCCTCCCAAGTGCTGGGATTATAGGTGCATGCCCCCATGCCCAGTCTCAATCCCATCTCACCATGCCCCAGGGGCGGGGCTGGCACAGCAGGCCTGGGGATCGAACCCCCAGCCCCGGTGTCTGCCTAAGCAGGGTCTTTAATCCTCTGAGCTATTTGGCTGGCCCTTCTTTGTCCCTTTCTATCTACTCAGGCTACCCATCTTTTGGGTGATACCACCATTCCCAGGGTGGTCATCCATGCTAGATCTGTGCCAAACCAGTCAGTAGACTGATTTAGTAATCACATACCCTTAATCCAAACATCACACACTTAATCCCTGTTTTACACATTCTTGATCCAGCCTCCTCCTAAGCCTGCCCCACCTATGATCACATGAGATGGGGAATAGGCAAAAGCCATAACAGTTAGATTCTTTGAAATGCAACTTTGGATCTACATAGTAGAATATGAATATGACTTATCCTGGGCCTCCTCACCAGTGCTCCTGGGAGCAGTGAACTTTCCAGGTAGTCCCAGGGGGATGAAGTAGAAACTGCAGAAATAAACGTAACGGTTTATGGATGCTTGTTTTGTGGTAAAACTATTTTTAGGGCTTTTCAGTAAAAGTCATCATTATGTGTTTGAGAGCCCTTTAAGACATCAAAAAGTTTTTTTTCATTTTCATGACACAAAGACACCTGTCTTTGTTTCAGCATCAGTCTGATGTGTTTCCCGGTTTCTACCTGTGAATCATATAAGTTCATACCTCTTTCTCTTGTGCTTTATAGGAACTGCATTTTTTTAAAAAACAAACTGAAGGGCCGGGGAGATGGCTCAGTAGAATAAGCACTTCCCTGGCAAGTGCAAGGATCTGAGTTCAATCCCTGGTTCCGCAAAAAAAAAAAAAAAAAAAACCCTGAAGGTTATTGACAACTCTGCATTGAACAATTTTGTTGATGCTGTGTTTTAGATAATTATTAGCATTTTTATTTTTATAAAAGAAAAAGTAAAAAAAAAACAAAAATGATACAGAATTTCAAAACAAGATGTTAGTAAATTAACAATGGTTGTTACATTGCATATTCTTTTTAGAAAATTTAAAAAATATTTACTTATTTGGTACAAGGCCTTGCTACGCAGCTTGGACTTGTAGTGATCCTCTTGTCTCAGTCCCCCAGCACTGGAATTATAGGCCTGTGCCACCATACCCCGTTTTGGGACATCACAGCATGCCTGGGGTTCTGGAGCCAGCAGGGCATGAGGTACCGAGCATTGGACCCAGCTCCTTCCACTTGCCAGGAAGGTACTTACACTGCTGAGCTCTCCCCCAGTTGCATATTGTTATCTTCAGAGTAGTTGTTTATAGATTACCAGATATAGGAATAAAAGATTGATCAAACAATTAAGCATTTAACATTCAATAAACCAATAGAAATTAGTAGTACAATTATCTTAGCTGTCAGTTATATATCTTTTTTTCCTTTTATTTTTCTCATTGTAGTTCATTCCTTTTGAGCAGTTTCTTTCCCTTTCACATCTGTTGTACCTTTCGGATTTTATTTATTCTTTCAGTTTCTTATACTAGGGAGACAGTACAATGTTTATAGGGTCTAATCTATTTCACTTATGATTATGGTCTTTAGGTGCATCCACTTACTTATAAAAGCCTTGAGTTTATCTTCTTCATAGCTGAGTAATAGTATAAAAATACACCTTTTTGAAATCTGTTCCTCATCTGATGGGCATGTAGGTTGTTGTCAAGATTTAGCTACAACAAATTGTGCTGCTATAAACATGGGTGCAGATGTATCACTGTGGTATGGTATTTTCAGTTTTTCTGGGAAAATACCCAAAAGGGGAATAGCTGAGTGGAATGGGATTTCTAATCCTAGATTTTGATGAACTCCACTGTGATTTCCACAGTAGTTATACTAGTCTCCCCTCCTTCCTTCAGTAGGATGATTCCTTTTCCTCACAGCCCCTCCAGCATTTGTTCCTGGCTGACTTCTTGATGGCCATTCTTTCTGTGGTGAGATGGAATCTCAGTGTTTTAATTTGTATTTCTCAAATAACCAATGATGTTGAACTTTTATATATTTGCCATTGCTATCTGCAGCACTATATTGTATTTAGTACAGGGTCTCACTACACAGCTACACAGCTTGGACTTGTAGTGATCCTCCTGTTTTTCAGCCTCCCAAGAGCTGGGATTACAGGCGTGCACCACCACTCCCAGTCTCAGTCAACGTCTCAGTGCACCCAGGGGACAGGGTTGGCACTGCAGGCTGTGGGGGGGAGGATTGAACCCCCGGCCCTGTGTCTGCCTAAACAGGCGCTTTAATCCGCTGAGCTATCTGGCTAGCCCTTTATATTTGCCATTGGTATTTCTTCATGAAAGAAGCATTTTTAACAATATTTTTGATAGACATTAAGATAAGGCATTGTTTGCAATCGGAAGGTTCCAGTTTCTCTACATACACATTTGGAAAGGGCATCAATCCTAGAAACAGCCTTCCTGAGAGTGATGATTTCCAGGCCAGGGCACTTCAGCATACACTATGTAATTCAGCTCAGAAAGCATAAGTACTCGTCCACCCCCTTAGGCAGGAGTGGTGAAGAAGATTCTAAAGTTATGTGCAGACACAGAGACATTCATAAATGAATTTTTGGCATTTTCATTTGTAATCATTCTGAACTTACTAAAACAGTATTTTTAAAAAAATTAAAAGCAATATAGAAATATTTAAGTTTGAAAATTAAAAGTTCTTTTTTGTGGCACAATAATATGTGATGCTGTAGTATTAATTACTTGGGCATGTGAAGCAGTTGGGTACTAATCCTTCTGGCTGTGTGAGCTAACTGCAGATCCCCATATGAACAGTGGAGGGCACCCATGTTTACTGAATAGAGACCAGGCGAGAATTCGGTCTGTTACTTCTTTCAGACTCAAGTGCGCCATTGTTAATTTTTCATAGGGTCACATGCCTAACCTCTAAAGAGTTACTTTTATATTTTATTTGAATATATATTTTGCTGCAACATCTGTTGGACCTTGTTAGATTATAACACAGTAGATATACAGTGAACATTTTGTGTTACTTTCCAGCTCTGTGAGGGGGGTAACCCTGAATTAGGGTGTCCTCATCCATTCTCCCCCAGCTACAGGCCAGTAGCTTACTAAAGTAGACACAGCACAGTTTCAGAACATTTTGGTTGTTTTTATGCATTGAGGTCCAGCTGGCAGATGTTTGGAGGGGGTGAGAATACAATGATTGTTTGGTTTGGGGATGACTAGGAAGTTTTATTGTTCGAATGTGTTATTTCTAAAAAGGTACAAACCAGAATTGAATTCTCATTCTGGCTTCATCAAGACTGGGTTTGACACCAAAGCAGCACTGCTGACTTAGAAGAATTTGGCTTGCCTTTAATTTGATGGGCCTAATTCAGATTCGCTTTACTGGGACCAGTTTTTTTTTTGGATTTGTGGGGATTGTCTTCCAGAGGCATTTCTATTAATCGAGGCTCAGTGAAAATCTGTTAGCAGACAGCACTAAAGGCAGGTGACTTTGAGAACCTTATGACCACTGACCTGCTTCTATGGGATGGAGCTATAATTCTGCCCTCTATGTGGGGTCACTTTATATCATGTTGAGAACAAGAGCTGGCCTGAAAATGAGTTGCTATGAGGAAGGCTGTCTCTGTGAAAAGTGATGGTGTCCAAAAATACAGCCATATTGGGAGTGTGTTCATTTTCATAAATTAGGTACTTCCTATATTAACCCCTGCCATTCCTGCCTCACAGACTTGATGTGTGGTTTAGTCAATTTATCTGAAATTCTTGTGGAACTAGAGCTGGCACCTGCCTCACACACACTCTTGGCCTGATGAAAGTTTGAAATTAATGTATCTTGGAGTTGGTACTTTCATAGGACTGTGAAGCCAGTAAAGAAAGCCCCTCAATAACAGTAAGTCCTTTTATTCTCAGAACTGATGATGCTACCTGCTTGGTCCAGCTGTACCACATGCTCCATCCAGATGGTCCATCAGCACAAGAGGCCAGAGAGCAGGGTGCTGAGGGAATACATTTAATTAAGGTAAGATCTTTTTTTTACATTGGCTGTTTTGTGTTGTTGAGTTTAAAAGATTCAGAAGTGGCTCATATTTAATGGAAACTAAACAGACTTATAAACTTGAAACATTTGTGGTCTTGAAAACAGCAATGTGATCACAGCCCCCATATTTCTTCATCCTGGATAATGGAGGGGGTAAGGAATGTGAGAGGTGGTGGGTGTGATGGCTGCTGGAGTCGAGAGGTTCAGGCAGTGTGGGCAGCAGGCCCCTCGTTCTTTGGAGTACTTGAACCTGTCCCTAAGAGCAGTTTTCTGTTGTCCTCCAGTGAGGTCACAGAATATGGGAGTGGGAGGTAGATGTGAAGAGCAGGAGGGGGTAGTGGTGGTCAGGTAGTACCAAGCCTTGTTTCTGTTACCATGTGGAACTACACACTGCTCCAAGCCACCAGCTTACATAGGTTTTCTGTAAATACTGAATTAATGTTTTTAGGATAGGAGAGGTCATTGTGTAACTTAATCTCTAATGCTCAGAATAGATAGTTTTGAACTGACTTATATTGCAGTAATGCTTTTTTGCATTTCACAAAGCTTACTAAAGATAAAAATGACCAATGACCACCCTAAGTAGAGAAAGTATAGTACTCATCCTGATTTTCTGGGATAAGCCAGATAAAAGCAAAATGCTTTTGGACAGTCTTTTAAATAAAAAATTAATTTTCTAACTTGCATTCTCTTGAACGTAATGCTTTTCAGTTTGGTCTAGCAGGAAGTACAAGGTCAGCATCTTACATTTTTCTGAAAACAAGTGAAAAGAGACAACAGCTAATTAATTTGATGTTTAGAATTAATACTGCTTTAACTGTGGGATGTTTTCCTATGTGTATTTATTACTTTATAATGGGGGAAACATGAGGATTGGGACCTTTCCTACTACAGAAATGTTAATGTCTTAAAACTAAGGAACTTTACAAATATTATGTGTCCTATTTCTTTACAACTTTTTTCTTTTAAACAGGTCTTTGCAAAAACAGAAGCACAGAAGGGTGCATATATAGAATTAACACTTCAAACATATCAAGAAGCATTCATTAGCCATTCTGCAGCTTCCTGAAAATATTTTTAAGTTATGTTTCATTTTACAAAAACCTGTTTGTCTCCTTCTTAGTGTTAAGGTAAATATTTTAAAAAATGACAGAAATAAAAGGTACTGATTTAGAGTTTTCTATCAGAAACTCTTCGCTTTACAAAGAAAACTTGTTACCCCACTCACTTTTCTAGGCTGCAAGGGGATAACAGTATGTTTGAATGCCTAATATTAGACAAAGTTGTGAATAAAAGTATACTTTTCTATGATATCAAATAGGTATCACTGGTAATATAGATGCAGCCTGGTTTTCTGAGGTCTGGAGAATAGAGGTTTTAGGTCTTGAATTTAGAAATGGGTAACTTAAAAATTCTGCCTGTCAGGAGTGGGGGTACACTCCTGGAGGGAGCCCTGGGCACTAGGGAGGCTGAAGCAGAAGGATCTCTGTTGAGTTCTAGGCCAGCCTGTACTTATATAGTGAGACCCTGTCTCTAGCCTCCACACCCAAAAAGAAATGGTGAACTACTAGACAAAATCTGGATGAGCCCTGTCAGGCTATCTAGACTAAGGATAATGATATGAAGACATGGAGAAGGGTTGAAATCATTACAGCATGGACATCTAGATAATATCTGAAAAATTCAGATCTAGTTATGCAGAGGAAAGAATGTGGGTTGATTGCTATGTAAGGTTTTTGCCCAGCCTTTTAAAACTAGAAGTCTGTTTTTATTATTCACAAACCAAGCTGAAATAGCACTGACTTAAAAAGATTTTATGAGATACAGTATAGTATCAGCATGAAAAATTAATCACAGAACATGTCTGTTTTAGTGAGGAAGACAGTAATTTAAATGTACACTTAAGTTCCTCTTAAGAAGGCCATTCTGCACCCACTAGTCCACAGCATTTACTTATAAAAGTTAAGGAACTTCTCCTAGTTCCAAGCATTGTGGACAAGGTAATGATCAGTATCTCTATCTAAACGATCTGTTTGGTGAAATACATGTAGAACTATACTTAGTCGTCCAGCATGTCTTCATCCAGATTTATATCTGTTGTGTCAATATCTTCTAATTCCAAATTATCCAAATCTACTTCTAGCTCCAGTAAACTCTGAAAACAAAAGGAAGAGGATGATGAACTTATATAATACTGTGTCAGAGGAAAGTTATCTGGGTCACCACCCAAAGTGAGAGCTAACATTTGCTTAATGGTCAAAAAGAGCATCTTTGCATTTCAAAGCCCCTTCTGGGAAACTCCCACTGATTACATCACTTAAGCCAAGGCTAGCCCAGCAAGGCTTGCATATATTCATGGGGTGGGGGGGGGGGCGGGGGGGGGGGGTGGGGGTGGGAGGGGTTGCTGAATGAAGCTTGACTTACCTTTTCTTCTTTGTTGACTGTTTGGGAAGCCACAATAACTGGCGTAGGGGAAGCAGGTTTTTCATCAAGTTCCTGGAAGCACAGGTACAGATACATATGAAGACAGAAGAATTTTCCAGAAATTTAAATTTTTCCCCCAAAGCAAGAACATCAAGATTAGGAAGTGGGAGGCAGTACTTAAAATCAATAGTCTCTACCGAATTATCAAATGTGGCATCCTACTGACCTGTTGAGCTACAGATCTTGAGGGCCGAAAGCCTTTTGCCTCCTCCATAACATTTCTCTCTTCATTTGGCTATCAAAGAATAGAAAATGATGAGATATTTTGAAACTGATCAATAACCTGGCCTAAATCCCTAGCAGTTCATAATCCTCAAGTCACAAATACCATTTCATCCTGCTGTCACATTGAATGAAGCTTAGAACCTGGCTACACACCGTGACAAATGGATACTGTTTGGCTGGCCACAGATCAGCATGTGTTTCCTTCACCCATTCTTCAACCACAAAGGCTTCTTTTAATCCAGGGAAAAGGTTTTCATACTCTGTAGGGTCAGCAAGGGATTCTGCTGCTTTTTGATTGACTTTTGAGAGGTTCTCTCTCCACAGTTTGACTACCCTATTATAAACGTGGAACCAAAGACAGATTAAGTGTGCTGTTTTCATTTGAAACACTTGCCCCCGTAATTAAAGGTATACCTTGAAACATGACTAGGTAAGTAAGTTCGGGCTAGGAAGGCAGCTTCTGGCAGTCGTCCTGTTCTAATCAAGAGCTCCAAGCAAGCATCAAGCCTAAAGGTGAAAAGGAGAGGTGTATTGTTACAAGAATAAAGGCTGTCATACGTGACTGTAGTGCTGCCCCTCACATATATGCCTCATCTTTACTGAGCTGTTTGTCTTACATGGTGCTTTACAAAAATCAGTGGATTTCAGGAATATGAAGATAAGTCAGCTTTTGTAACCACTTTCAAACTGTTAAACTTATTCTGAACAATTTTTTTTTTCCAACTTTTTAATTTAAAGAGAACCGAAATGGGATTTGAAGGAGTTAAGGCAGGATTAGCCTATTTTGAAGGCCAGGATATTTATGTGGCCTTCAGGTGCCAACTAGAGCAGTTCAGTCACCTCCTATTGCCAGGTAATACAATGCCTCAGCCATCACCTGGTGGCTACTGAGAAAGGAGTTCAGTGTTTCTCCTATCACAAACACCTCATTTAGATGAAATATCCTGTAGCATTTTTGTGCTAAAGGTGAGTACCAGCAAAGTAGCAGTGTATTCTAACCATTGTTACACCTGTTGGTAATATATCAGCTCTTCCCAGTTCATTTTTCGTATTTCAAAAAGTTAATGTCTTTTGAGACTTTCTTGCTATGTAGTTCAGGTTGACTTTGAACTTTTGATTCACCTGCTTCAGTTTCCTGAGCATTCGGTTTACTGGCATGTGCCAGCACTCTCACTACAAATAGTGATTTTAATTAACATGCTCACCAAGGTCTGTAGACTTTGGAGTAACACTTACTTGCCCTGTAGAAAGTAGCTCATGAAGGCCACATTATTTTTGCCGTCTTTCTCTGCACCTTCTGCCAGCTTGTTCACCATACTAGCATTTCCAGAGGCAGTGGCCAAAAGCAGCAGACCCCCATAATCCTGGGCATGGTGTAGACACTCTTGGGCCAGGCCAAACTGACATTTACTGATGGCAAGCTCAGCAAGTTGTTTCCACTTCTGTTCTGACTGTAAGAAAGAGTTTCCAAGTTCAGGTACCTTTGGAAATAAACATTCACATTTCCAAACTCTTAATATTATTCTGTTCTTGTGAATATGACTATACCAAAATGGAAGACAGTCACTTGTGCTTGTTAAGTTGGATCTATCAGTTGAATAAAATTATATATTGAGGAAGTGAAAATTATTCATGTATACAAAATTAATTGAATTGTAATGATGCATGAAAAACAAAGCTATATTTTTATTTTTTAATTACACAGAAATGAGTTTCAAGGTAATTGTAATCATTTTAATGTATGAATTTAATACCACTTTTCTAAAAGAAAATTACATCTTTAAATAATATCTATCATTTAAAACTTCTCAAATCAAAATGCTCTTCACTTGGATGATCTTAACATGGCTAAAATTTATTTCACTTGTCTGAAATTAATTTACCTCTGCAGGGCTTACACAATTGGGTGCACACAAAACACAAAGCTATATGAAACTGTCTAGAAATGTCAAGACACTTTAAACCAGTGTCTTTCTTGCTAGTTTGGGGTTTTGGCAAATTACTGTTTTGTTTATGCTCAGACTTTCTAGACACCTCTAATTGTCATCTTTAAATCACTTGCTCTTGCAAATTAAATCTCACCTGCAATGGGGTAACAATTTTTACAAAAAAATCACAGTGCTAAGACTATCTGAAATATTATCTGCTTAATTTATGCAAAGATTAATAATGTGTCTTTGAAAAAGCTCAAAAACACAACATCACCAAAGAGTCATTAATTTCCATGTGAAAAATGTAACCACATTCCAACAAGCACACAGAAGTACTACTGACTTTTCCATCAGTTATGAGAAGCTATGAATCATGGATTAGTACTTACCTCTGCCTCCACAGCTAACTGGTATGCAATTTTTAACTCTCCAAGCTGAAGGGCCAGTTCAAAGCGATGCTCGGGATCTGTGGATACTGTAAGAGCCTGCTGCTTGAAGCCCTAACCAGATTTAGAAAAAGAAAAAACGATGTATGCTTGTGTGACTTGTGCAAATAAAAATGTCTGCAAAACACAGGGCAGGTACTTAAGGTCAATCATTCATTTCCCTGTCAAAAGAAACAACCCTGATAATAAGTTGATAAACATAACAGATAAGTGTCTTCTTATAAGAAGACAAAAATATAGAAGTCATTAAGTTAATTGGACAGGACAAACCTTGCAGCTAAAATATTCATCACATAATGCCTACTGTTAAGATAATGGGATCTGGCTTAATTCTAGATAAACTCAAGTAAAACAGTTAAAGAGAAGTCACTGCATAAGAAGCAAAACACAGCTGTAACTCTAATCTCAACAAAGCTGAACCTTAGAGATCTAGTCTAAGCCTCATTTTACAGATGAGATTATTTGGAACAAATAAGCAAAGAAAAGGGAGGCAAATATAATAGCCTCTGAGTGCCTGTCATCTGCAGGCCATTTAGCAAACATTTTGTATTCAAGCCCAGACACTGATGAAATGTCATTTTTCCTGTGTCATTAGTGTTGGTCTTGTGTCCAGTTCATATCTTAAAGAATAGAAAGCCTAAGACTTCTTTCCCATGCTCTTACTAAGCCACTAGGAACAGGCTTTTAAATCAACTTCTGCCAAATTAGCTTCTGTGAGACAAGGCAGCAAAGGCCAAGTTTGGCTCTAGGGATGTGGTGGTATGCTAGAGGAAAAGCCAGCGCTAGTTAACCTCTTCCTCAAATTGAAGGAGAAGGCTCACTATGGGAAGGCCAGAATGGAGAAGCCAGGCAGCTTTCAGAGTTCACTTATGTCCAGCTAGACCTTCAGAATAGTTTACTCTTGGAAATGCTTTAACTTCAGATTAGCAAGCCACCACTCAGCTCCATCATTCTGTAAGTACAATGCGATCAGACATTCTAAATAAAAGGACTCACTCCTTCACTAACACTGATGTGTATGACATAAAAACGGTGAAAGATGATCTTTGGGTCAAATAAAGCAAGGGTGATCAGATTAAATATGATAGACTAAAC